TCACCCAATGCCAAAAAAAAAAAAAAAAAAAAGAAGCAAGAGAGAGAAAGAAGAAGATGGAACGAAGTTAAGTATATTAACGGAGATAACGGAAATGGAAGTTAGGTGTAACGGAGTGTGTTGTCAGATGGGTGTATGTATCAGCGTCCTAATAAATTGAATGTCAATTTTTATTTTTTTAGTATAAATTTACAACAAAAAAATATTTATTACAAGATACATCTTAAAAAACTCTTTAATTAATATGCCCATGGAAAACTTAAAACTTAGTGTAAATAAATAAAATAATAAGAATCATGTTTTATAATTTAAATTATATTAAATTATTAAATAAAAATTATTAAATAAAAAAAACTCTAATATTAAAAAATTTATTTTTATATAATAATTAATATGATATAATTTAATACAATTTATTGTAGTATACTTTTACAATGAAATAATAATTATAAAATCCCTGCTCGAGCCAGTAATCGTCTGTACTTTTGCACGCGTCAGGCAAAAGCAAGACCATTGTTAGAATAAAAGAATAAGGTGAGGTGGTTAATTTGGTTATTTAATTTGACTTAACCATGGTTAAGTTGATTGTCAACGAAGTTAGGCCAAAGTTTAGGTTACGATCCAACGTTTCTTTCCCTATAAAAGGTTTTTCCTTCCCTTAAGAGTTCTCTGCCTCCATTCCCTCCATTCCCTCCATTTCCCTACTTTCATCTTTTCCATTTCTGCCAAACAGAGAATTCACTGTAACCAAAACAGAGGCAAAAACAGCTACAAATATGGCCTCTTTCCGGCGATTCCTCTCCCTCTATGCATTACTGCTTTTAGCCCTGTTTGTTACCGTAAAAGCCGCCCGGCATCAAACCCAGCTGAAATCGAGGTACAATTTTTCATTGAGACCCAAATTCAAAGTTCTCTGTTCCATAAGTTTTTCGAAGGTGCAAAACGTTCTTCAGAGCTTCGAAATGCGAAGAAGTAACATAATTTCAATTCTTAACTCTAGTATTTTCCTTTGTGTTTCTGCCAAACAGGACTCTGGAAAGAGAGCACTTGCAGAGCTTAAAGAACTCATCAATGGCGGAGATGTGAGCTCATTCATTATAAGCTTTCAGCAATTTTTTTTGAAAATCAGATCTGAAATAACCGGAGTATTATAATGCAGCACTTCTGAAAATCAATGCATTTTCTTCTATTTAGTTGTTTTGGTACTAACAGAATCACTTAACAAATTTTCAGGTCAGATGAAGAATGGTTAGATAAACACACATTCGACGATCCAGAGGAAGTCGTTAAAATGGTTGAGATG